CCGATGTGTTTTACACAGCTTCTTGGCTTCTCATTATGCACTTTTCATCTGTCGAAGTGCTGAGGATCACTGGCAAGTTCCCTGGATACTTGAGCCCATCGGCCGGCTTGAAATTCGCGGACGTGCCAAACGGTCTTGCTGCGATCTCCAAAGTTCCCGCCGCAGGTTGGGGTCAGATCCTTGCCTACATGGCGTTCTGCGAGGTTTCCCAGGATCAGTCGGCCGGCACGGCGGCTGCAGCAGGCGACTTTGGCTTCAAGGTCTTGACCTCCAGCGACCCGGCTGAGAAGACTAAGAAGCTCTCAGCGGAGCTGGCGAACGGCAGACTTGCGATGATGGCCATCATCGGCATGTTCTTTCAGGCGGGCTTATCACATGCGTGTGCCGTTAATGTTATGTCATGACTTCATTGACTTCATTGACTTCATGTGAGTTGAAGGAAGAATGCAAGTGTCAACCTTTAATACAGAAGGCGGTGTTTGTGAAAGTGATGTTTGGGTCGTAGGACGGCCTGACCGGAAGCGCCTGGGGTGACTGGGCCAACTACACCGCCTCTCCGCTCCGAGCGTTCGAGAACGAGCTTGGTGTTCAGGATCCCGTCGGATTTTGGGACCCGGCTGGCTTCACCGCCGACGGCAGCGTGGAGGACTTCAAGCGCCGCCGCCAGACCGAGATCAAGCATGGCCGCATTGCAACTCGGATGTTCGAGGTTAGCCTGGAATGCATGTAGAGCACCTCTGCGACACAGAGCTCATCTTAGCTTTTTGTTTTTTGTTTTTGTTGGGTCGGCTCAAGCAAAGTCAAGGCCATGCTGGCAGCGATGGGCTACATCACTCCTGAGCAACTTGCCGGAAGGGTTACGACAGGGAAGGGCAGAAGATAGGGTAAACCGCTTGTAGCGCGTTTTAATGTGCTTGGTTTTTGTTGTTGTTCGCTTGCATCGCTTGCAACGTAGATCTGTGCTGTTGACATTCGCCGTGGCATCGCGCGGTGGGGTTCTCGTTTGCTGTAGTTACTGTAGTTCTTAGTGCTGCCATGTGCTGATTTCATCTTGCGATGCTACGATCAACCGATGTGTTTTACACAGCTTCTTGCATTGCTTCTCATTATGCACTTTTCATCTGTAGAAGTGCTGAGGATCACTGGCAAGTTCCCTGGATACTTGAGCCCATCGGCCGGCTTGAAATTCGCGGACGTGCCAAACGGTCTTGCTGCGATCTCCAAAGTTCCCGCCGCAGGTTGGGGTCAGATCCTTGCCTACATGGCGTTCTGCGAGGTTTCCCAGGATCAGTCGGCCGGCACGGCGGCTGCAGCAGGCGACTTTGGCTTCAAGGTCTTGACCTCCAGCGACCCGGCTGAGAAGACTAAGAAGCTCTCAGCGGAGCTGGCGAACGGCAGACTTGCGATGATGGCCATCATCGGCATGTTCTTTCAGGCGGGCTTATCACATGCGTGTGCCGCTAACGTTGTGATGACTTCGTTGACTTCATGTGAGAGTTGAAGGAAGAACGCAACTGTCAACCTGTAATGCAAAAAGCTGCGTTGTTTTGTGAGTGTGAATGTTTGGGTCATAGGACGGCCTGACCGGAAGCGCCTGGGGTGACTGGGCCAACTACACCGCCTCTCCGCTCCGAGCGTTCGAGAATGAGCTTGGTGTTCAGGATCCCGTCGGATTTTGGGACCCGGCTGGCTTCACCGCCGACGGCAGCGTGGAGGACTTCAAGCGCCGCCGACAGACCGAGATCAAGCATGGCCGCATTGCAACTCGGATGTTCGAGGTTAGCCTGGAACGCATGTAGAGCACCTGTACGACACAGAGCTCATCTTTAGTGTTTTTTGTTTCGTTGGGTCGGCTCAAGCAAAGTCAAGGCCATGCTGGCAGCGATGGGCTACATCACTCCTGAGCAACTTGCCGGAAGGGTTTCGACAGGGAAGGGCCGAAGATAGGGTAAACCGCTTGTAGCGCGTTTTAATGTGCTTGGTTTTTGTTGTTGTTTTTTGGTTGCATCGCTTGCAACGTAGATCTGTGCTGTTGACATTCGTCATGGCATCGCGCGGTGGGGTTCTCGTTTGCTGTAGTTACTGTAGTTCTTAGTGCTGCCATGTGCTGATTTCATCTTGCGATGCTACGATTAACCGATGTGTTTTACACAGCTTCTTGCATTGCTTCTCATTATGCACTTTTCATCTGTAGAAGTGCTGAGGATCACTGGCAAGTTCCCTGGGTACTTGAGCCCATCGGCCGGCTTGAAATTCGCGGACGTGCCAAACGGTCTTGCTGCGATCTCCAAAGTTCCCGCCGCAGGTTGGGGTCAGATCCTTGCCTACATGGCGTTCTGCGAGGTTTCCCAGGATCAGTCGGCCGGCACGGCGGCTGCAGCAGGCGACTTTGGCTTCAAGGTCTTGACCTCCAGCGACCCGGCTGAGAAGACTAAGAAGCTCTCAGCGGAGCTGGCGAACGGCAGACTTGCGATGATGGCCATCATCGGCATGTTCTTTCAGGCGGGCTTATCACATGCGTGTGCCGCTAACATTGTGATGACTTCTTTCACTTCATGTGAGTTCAAGGAAGAATGCAAGTGTCAACCTGTAATGCAGAAGACTGCGTTTGCGAAAGTGATGTTTGGGTCATAGGACGGCCTGACCGGAAGCGCCTGGGGTGACTGGGCCAACTACACCGCCTCTCCGCTCCGAGCGTTCGAGAACGAGCTTGGTGTTCAGGATCCCGTCGGATTTTGGGACCCGGCTGGCTTCACCGCTGACGGCAGCGTGGAGGACTTCAAGCGCCGCCGCCAGACCGAGATCAAGCATGGCCGCATTGCAACTCGGATGTTCGAGGTTAGCTGGAATGCATGTAGAGCACCTGTACTCATCTTTAGTGTTTTTTGTTTCGTTGGGTCGGCTCAAGCAAAGTCAAGGCCATGCTGGCAGCGATGGGCTACATCACTCCTGAGCAACTTGCCGGAAGGGTTACGACAGGGAAGGGCAGAGGATGGGGTAAACCGCTTGTAGTGCGTTTTAATGTGCTTGTTTTTTGTTGTTGCTTTTTGTTTGCATCGCTTGCAACGTAGATCTGTGCTGTTGACATTCGTGATGGCATCGCGCAGTGGGGTTCTCGTTTGCTGTAGTTGCTGTAGTTCTTAGTGCTACCATGTGCTGCGTTCATTTCGCGATGCCACGATCAACCGATGTGTTTTACACAGCTTCTTGGCTTCTCATTATGCACTTTTCATCTGTCGAAGTGCTGAGGATCACTGGCAAGTTCCCTGGATACTTGAGCCCATCGGCCGGCTTGAAATTCGCGGACGTGCCAAACGGTCTTGCTGCGATCTCCAAAGTTCCCGCCGCAGGTTGGGGTCAGATCCTTGCCTACATGGCGTTCTGCGAGGTTTCCCAGGATCAGTCGGCCGGCACGGCGGCTGCAGCAGGCGACTTTGGCTTCAAGGTCTTGACCTCCAGCGACCCGGCTGAGAAGACTAAGAAGCTCTCAGCGGAGCTGGCGAACGGCAGACTTGCGATGATGGCCATCATCGGCATGTTCTTTCAGGCGGGCTTATCACATGCGTGTGCCGTTGTGACTTCATTGTCTTCGTGTGAGCTCAAGACTTCATGTGTGTTGTTGAAAGAATGCAAGTCATCATTCAAGTAGAGAATGCGCCGTTTGTGTGATGCTTGTGTCGTAGGACGGCCTGACCGGAAGCGCCTGGGGTGACTGGGCCAACTACACTGCTTCGCCTTTGCGCGCCGAGCCTGTCTCTGCCGCCGCGGCAGCGGCTGCAGCCAAAGCTGCCGCGGCCAAGGCAGGCGCGAGCGCAGGAGCGAAGACAGCAGCGGCCACCACGGGCATCGGTGCCGGCACTGGCAAGTCCCTGAGCGGTGAGGGCGAGGAGGTGCCCCCTGAGCCGACTTTCGACCCGGCGAATGAGGTGGGCGTCACCGAGCCCTTCGGCTACTTCGACCCGGCCGGCTTCTGCAAGAAGGGTGACAAGGCCGGCTTCCGCAACCTGCGCGCGGCCGAGATCAAGCATGGCAGGGTTGCGATGATGGCCGCAGTGGGTGCCGTCGTGCAGCACTACGTGAAGTTCCCTGGCTTCGACAGCGTGCCTGCCGGACTCGGCGCTGTGGAGGTCCCGCCGGGCACCTACGGCTTCGCCGCGCTCTTCGCGGTCTCGGGCTTGCTGGAGCTGGGCGCCTGGACTGAGGACCCCTCGAAGGAGCCGGGCAACTTCGGTGACCCCGCCGGCCTGGGCCAGTACACGCTGGAGATGCGCAACCGGGAGATCAACAACGGCCGAATGGCCATGTTCGCAGCCATCGGTATCATCGCCGCCAACGTCTACACCGGCAAGGATGCCATCGAGCAGTTCGGCCTTGCGTAGGGCGCTGACAGCAAATTCTTTGTCAATTTGTAAAGAATTGTAAATCCCAGCCCTGATGGGCTTCTTTTAGTGTTGTGAGTTTTGTTGCGTGGCTTCCGGTTCCGTGGGCGCTTTAGCGGCTATCCCCAAGCCCCCAAGCCACGTTCTCATACTCTTGGCGTGGGCGAACAAGTCACCGTGCTAGCCTCATGAACATTCTGACGAGGTTGTTTCGAAGGATGGACGCTAAGCTTCAACCTCTTGACATGTTTTGGTGTGCTCGCTTCTTCAAAGCCTCAGAGACGCCACCGTCCGCTTACCCCGCGCGTTGTTTGAATGATCCCGCACGCCAACAGCTCCTGGCCTCCGACACGTGGGGTGTCGCAGGCCGACGAAGTTTTGTGTGCAACTCCGCTGCAAATGTCGGAAAAGCACCAAAAAGATCACTGGCGCTTGCCTGGCTGTTCACCGTAGGCCCTGTAGGCATGGGCAGCGCTGCACATCGTCACGCAGCAAAGAGGGGTCATGCGGAAGGCACGTTTCTGCTGCTGCGGGCTCAAGATTTAATAAAACTTAATTGCCTTTTCTGCAGGCGTGGCCTGACCTCTTTTCCCTTTTAATTCAAACTTGTACATTTTCGCAATGTCTGGCCCGGCGCCCAGGGCTCTTCGGCTCTTCGGCTCTGTGGCTCTGTGGCTCTGTGGCACCGTAGGGCGAACCCCTCCTCCGCAAAAGCAAGGACCACTTCGGACCGAGGCATGCAGCGAACCTTCAAACATCAAAGAAGAAAAAGAGGGAAGAGAGAGGAGCCCCTTAGCCCCCGCCTCCGCCTACAGCTAGTGCAACAAGGCCAGAAGGCTGTGGCCGCAGCGGCCCTCGCCACCGCTGCCTTCACTGCCAAGGAGGCGCCTGCGAATTTTTCTGGGAGGGGCTGCTGTTTTGGAGTCCTTTTTTCGGACTCGGGGGGACAAGGGTTACCTTAAAACTTAAAACCCTAAACCCCAACTGCAAGAACGCTTTTACAGGGCGTTTAGGGGTTTCTGAGAGTTGTTCATCTTGCCCTTTTGCTCCTCCCCTTTGCCTTTGGAGCTTTTCATTCTCCAAGTTTCTTTAGGAGGGTTTGCGGTTCAGGGTTTGGGCGGTTTCGGAGTTTGGGGGCTTTCTCTGGGTGGCTAGGGGTTGAGAGCGCCTTTAAGGGTTTGTGGCTTGAGGGCTTGTTTGCTCTTAGCCTTTGTTATTTTCGGGGGATTTCGGGTGTAGGGTGAGGGGTTTCCTTTATGGAAAAGGGGTTTGGGTTTTGTAGGGGGTTTAGAGGGTTTTGAGGGGTTTAGGGAGTTTTGGCGCCTTTGCGGAGGCTTTTGTCGCCGCCCGGGGACCTGCCACAGCAGCGCAGGACGGGCGCCGAGTGAGCAGAATGGCTTAGCTGAACCTCCCCGCCACACCCCTACGTGAGCGGGGGTGGACAACGACAGTCGTATCCCCATCCAGATGTCTGTTTCGGCAAAGGCCTCGAAAGCCCTAAGCAGCCCCTGTAGAATCCTAGACTCCCTCAACCCCATACCCCCCGGTTTGAGTTGTGTGTTCGGGCGGGGGAGGGATGGGAGGGGCATTCTCGATTTTTTTGGGTGCCGGAGGCTCCCGCGAGCACCAGGCTGCGTGGCAGCACATCCGCAGGCAGGATGCCAAAGTAGAGGCCCAAGTGGAGAGGTACGCCTTTGCGCCTCGCATGCAGGCTCCTCGCCTTCGTCGGTCCTTCCCCTTGCAACCGCCGCCGTCGTGGCGGCCGGGGCTTTCCGAAGCCAGGCGAGAAAAGCTTGAAGAATCACAAACGCCCGAAGCCCAGAAAAGGCCGGGGTTGAGGCGGCTTCGGCTTCTCCAGGGTTCAGGTTGCTTGGGGCGTCTAAAGAGGACCTTTCCAACTCGCCTGAATGGACTTCGAAGTTCTGTACCGCGCATGCTGCAAAAGCCCTGCGCAGGGCTCCTCAAGCAAGACCCAGCCGGTGAGACTCCATGCTTTCGAGCGGCTCGGGTGCAGCAGTTGTCAGAACTTGGCTTTAGGTTTCGGGGGGCTTTTTGAGAGGGCTTTCGGGGGGCCTTGGGGCTTGGAACTTGGGGGCTTTGTTTAGGGCTAAGTGTTTGGCTCTTTGGGTTTTCGGCTGAGGGATGTTGAGGAGCGGAACGCTTGGGCTTCTGTATTTCTGTTTGAAGTTCCAGTTTGGAAGACTTAAGCAGATACCACCAGGGGGTTCGTTCACCAACGTCAGTTTCAGATGGTGGTCTGCTAGCTTGAGCCCGTCCGAGGAACGAGCTTGGCGTCCAGGATCCCGTCGGATTTTGGGACCCGGCCGGATTCACCGCCGACGGCAGCGTGGAGGACTTCAAGCGCCGCCGGCAGACCGAGATCAAGCATGGCCGCATTGCAACTCGGATGTTCGAGGTTAGCCTGGAACGCATGTAGAGCACCTCTACGACACAGAGCTCATCTTAAGCTAGTTCTTGTTTCGTTGGGTAGACTCAAGCAAATTCAAGGCCATGCTGGCAGCGATGGGCTACATTACTCCGGAGCAACTTGCCGGAAGGGTTACGACAGGGAAGGGCAGAAGAGAGGGTAAAACGCTTGCAATGCGTTTTAATGTGCTTGTTTTTTGTTGTTTTCGCTTGCATCGCTTGCGACGAAGATTTGGGCTGTTGACATTCGCCATGGCATCGCGCGGTGGGGTTCTCGTTTGCTGTAGTTACTGTAGTTCTTAGTGCTGCCATGTGCTACTTCATTTCGCGATGCCACGATCAACAAATTATGTGTTTTACACAGCTTCTTGGCTTCTCATGATGCACTTTTCATCTGTCGAAGTGCTGAGGATCACTGGCAAGTTCCCTGGATACTTGAGCCCATCGGCCGGCTTGAAATTCGCGGACGTGCCAAACGGTCTTGCTGCGATCTCCAAAGTTCCCGCCGCAGGTTGGGGTCAGATCCTTGCCTACATGGCGTTCTGCGAGGTTTCCCAGGATCAGTCGGCCGGCACGGCGGCTGCAGCAGGCGACTTTGGCTTCAAGGTCTTGACCTCCAGCGACCCGGCTGAGAAGACTAAGAAGCTCTCAGCGGAGCTGGCGAACGGCAGACTTGCGATGATGGCCATCATCGGCATGTTCTTTCAGGCGGGATTATCACATGCATGTGCCGTTAATCAATGTTGTGATGACTTCATTGACTTCATGTGAGTTGAAGGAGGAATGCAAGTGTTAACCTTTAATACAGAAAGCAGCTTTTGTGTTGTGATGTTTGGGTCATAGGACGGCCTGACCGGAAGCGCCTGGGGTGACTGGGCCAACTACACCGCCTCTCCGCTCCGAGCGTTCGAGAACGAGCTTGGTGTTCAGGATCCCGTCGGATTTTGGGACCCGGCTGGCTTCACCGCCGACGGCAGCGTGGAGGACTTCAAGCGCCGCCGCCAGACCGAGATCAAGCATGGCCGCATTGCAACTCGGATGTTCGAGGTTAGCCTGGAACGCATGTAGAGCACCTCTACGACACAGAGCTCATCTTAAGCTTTTTTGTTTCTTGTTTCGTTGGGTAGACTCAAGCAAATTCAAGGCCATGCTGGCAGCGATGGGCTACATTACTCCGGAGCAACTTGCCGGAAGGTTACGACAGGGAAGGGCAGAAGAGAGGGTAAAACGATTGCGATGCGTTTTAATGGCTTGTTTTTGTTGTTTTCGCTTGCATCGCTTGCGACGAAGATTTGGGCTGTTGACATTCGCCATGGCATCGCGCGGTGGGGTTCTCGTTTGCTGTAGTTGTAGTTCTCAGTGCTACCGTGTGCTACCTTCATTTCGCGATGCTACGATCAACAAATGTGTTTTACACAGCTCTTGGCTTCTCATTATGCACTTTTCATCTGTCGAAGTGCTGAGGATCACTGGCAAGTTCCCTGGATACTTGAGCCCATCGGCCGGCTTGAAATTCGCGGACGTGCCAAACGGTCTTGCTGCGATCTCCAAAGTTCCCGCCGCAGGTTGGGGTCAGATCCTTGCCTACATGGCGTTCTGCGAGGTTTCCCAGGATCAGTCGGCCGGCACGGCGGCTGCAGCAGGCGACTTTGGCTTCAAGGTCTTGACCTCCAGCGACCCGGCTGAGAAGACTAAGAAGCTCTCAGCGGAGCTGGCGAACGGCAGACTTGCGATGATGGCCATCATCGGCATGTTCTTTCAGGCGGGATTATCACATGCGTGTGCCGTTAACGTTGTGATGACTTCATTGACTTCATGTGAGTTGAAGGAAGAATGCAAGTGCGAACCTTTAGTACAGAAAGCAGCTTTTGTGTTGTGATGTTTGGGTCATAGGACGGCCTGACCGGAAGCGCCTGGGGTGACTGGGCCAACTACACCGCCTCTCCGCTCCGAGCGTTCGAGAACGAGCTTGGTGTTCAGGATCCCGTCGGATTTTGGGACCCGGCTGGCTTCACCGCCGACGGCAGCGTGGAGGACTTCAAGCGCCGCCGCCAGACCGAGATCAAGCATGGCCGCATTGCAACTCGGATGTTCGAGGTTAGCCTGGAACGCATGTAGAGCACCTCTACGACACAGAGCTCATCTTAAGCTAGTTCTTGTTTCGTTGGGTAGGCCACTCAAGCAAATTCAAGGCCATGCTGGCAGCGATGGGCTACATCACTCCGGAGCAACTTGCCGGAAGGGTTACGACAGGGAAGGGCAGAGGATAGGGTAAACCGCTTGTAGTGCGTTGTAGTGCGCTTGCTTTTTGTTGTTTTCGCTTGCATCGCTTGGGACGAAGATCTGGGCTGTTGACGTTCTTCATGGCATTGCGCGGTGGGGTTCTCGTTTGCTGTGCGACCATGAGCTTTGTTCATTTCGCGATGCCACGATCAACCGATGTGTTTTACACAGCTTCTTGGCTTCTCATGATGCACTTTTCATCTGTCGAAGTGCTGAGGATCACTGGCAAGTTCCCTGGATACTTGAGCCCATCGGCCGGCTTGAAATTCGCGGACGTGCCAAACGGTCTTGCTGCGATCTCCAAAGTTCCCGCCGCAGGTTGGGGTCAGATCCTTGCCTACATGGCGTTCTGCGAGGTTTCCCAGGATCAGTCGGCCGGCACGGCGGCTGCAGCAGGCGACTTTGGCTTCAAGGTCTTGACCTCCAGCGACCCGGCTGAGAAGACTAAGAAGCTCTCAGCGGAGCTGGCGAACGGCAGACTTGCGATGATGGCCATCATCGGCATGTTCTTTCAGGCGGGATTATCACATGCATGTGCCGTTAATCAATGTTGTGATGACTTCATTGACTTCATGTGAGTTGAAGGAGGAATGCAAGTGTTAACCTTTAATACAGAAAGCAGCTTTTGTGTTGTGATGTTTGGGTCATAGGACGGCCTGACCGGAAGCGCCTGGGGTGACTGGGCCAACTACACCGCCTCTCCGCTCCGAGCGTTCGAGAACGAGCTTGGTGTTCAGGATCCCGTCGGATTTTGGGACCCGGCCGGATTCACCGCCGACGGCAGCGTGGAGGACTTCAAGCGCCGCCGCCAGACCGAGATCAAGCATGGCCGCATTGCAACTCGGATGTTCGAGGTTAGCCTGGAAAGCATGTAGAGCACCTCTACGACACAGAGCTCATCTTAAGCTAGTTCTTGTTTCGTTGGGTAGACTCAAGCAAATTCAAGGCCATGCTGGCAGCGATGGGCTACATTACTCCGGAGCAACTTGCCGGAAGGGTTACGACAGGGAAGGGCAGAAAAGAGGGTAAAACGCTTGCAATGCGTTTTAATGTGCTTGTTTTTTGTTGTTTTCGCTTGCATCGCTTGCGACGAAGATTTGGGCTGTTGACATTCGCCATGGCATCGCGCGGTGGGGTTCTCGTTTGCTGTAGTTACTGTAGTTCTTAGTGCTGCCATGTGCTACTTCATTTCGCGATGCCACGATCAACAAATTATGTGTTTTACACAGCTTCTTGGCTTCTCATGATGCACTTTTCATCTGTCGAAGTGCTGAGGATCACTGGCAAGTTCCCTGGATACTTGAGCCCATCGGCCGGCTTGAAATTCGCGGACGTGCCAAACGGTCTTGCTGCGATCTCCAAAGTTCCCGCCGCAGGTTGGGGTCAGATCCTTGCCTACATGGCGTTCTGCGAGGTTTCCCAGGATCAGTCGGCCGGCACGGCGGCTGCAGCAGGCGACTTTGGCTTCAAGGTCTTGACCTCCAGCGACCCGGCTGAGAAGACGAAGAAGCTCTCAGCGGAGCTGGCGAACGGCAGACTTGCGATGATGGCCATCATCGGCATGTTCTTTCAGGCGGGATTATCACATGCATGTGCCGTTAATCAATGTTGTGATGACTTCATTGACTTCATGTGAGTTGAAGGAGGAATGCAAGTGTTAACCTTTAATACAGAAAGCAGCTTTTGTGTTGTGATGTTTGGGTCATAGGACGGCCTGACCGGAAGCGCCTGGGGTGACTGGGCCAACTACACCGCCTCTCCGCTCCGAGCGTTCGAGAACGAGCTTGGTGTTCAGGATCCCGTCGGATTTTGGGACCCGGCTGGCTTCACCGCCGACGGCAGCGTGGAGGACTTCAAGCGCCGCCGCCAGACCGAGATCAAGCATGGCCGCATTGCAACTCGGATGTTCGAGGTTAGCCTGGAACGCATGTAGAGCACCTCTACGACACAGAGGTAATCTCAAGAATCATGAGCATTGTTGTTCCTTGTTTCGTTGGGTAGGCCACTCAAGCAAATTCAAGGCCATGCTGGCAGCGATGGGCTACATCACTCCGGAGCAACTTGCCGGAAGGGTTACGACAGGGAAGGGCAGAGGATAGGGTAAACCGCTTGCAGTGCGTTGTAGTGCGCTTGCTTTTTGTTGTTTTCGCTTGCATCGCTTGGGACGAAGATCTGGGCTGTTGACGTTCGTCATGGCATTGCGCGGTGGGGTTCTCGTTTGCTGTGCGACCATGAGCTTTGTTCATTTCGCGATGCCACGATCAACAAATTATGTGTTTTACACAGCTTCTTGGCTTCTCATTATGCACTTTTCATCTGTCGAAGTGCTGAGGATCACTGGCAAGTTCCCTGGATACTTGAGCCCATCGGCCGGCTTGAAATTCGCGGACGTGCCAAACGGTCTTGCTGCGATCTCCAAAGTTCCCGCCGCAGGTTGGGGTCAGATCCTTGCCTACATGGCGTTCTGCGAGGTTTCCCAGGATCAGTCGGCCGGCACGGCGGCTGCAGCAGGCGACTTTGGCTTCAAGGTCTTGACCTCCAGTGACCCGGCTGAGAAGACTAAGAAGCTCTCAGCGGAGCTGGCGAACGGCAGACTTGCGATGATGGCCATCATCGGCATGTTCTTTCAGGCGGGATTATCAAATGCGTGTGCCGTTGTGATGACTTCGTGTGAGTTGAAGACTTCATGTGAGTTGTTGAAAGAATGCAAGTCCTCATCTGAGAATGCGTCGGTTGTGAGTGTGATGCTTGGGTCGTAGGACGGCCTGACCGGAAGCGCCTGGGGTGACTGGGCCAATTACACTGCTTCGCCTTTGCGCGCCGAGCCTGTCTCTGCCGCCGCGGCAGCGGCTGCAGCCAAAGCTGCCGCGGCCAAGGCAGGCGCGAGCGCAGGAGCGAAGACAGCAGCGGCCACCACGGGCATCGGTGCCGGCACTGGCAAGTCCCTGAGCGGTGAGGGCGAGGAGGTGCCCCCTGAGCCGACTTTCGACCCGGCGAATGAGGTGGGCGTCACCGAGCCCTTCGGCTACTTCGACCCGGCCGGCTTCTGCAAGAAGGGTGACAAGGCCGGCTTCCGCAACCTGCGCGCGGCCGAGATCAAGCATGGCAGGGTTGCGATGATGGCCGCAGTGGGTGCCGTCGTGCAGCACTACGTGAAGTTCCCTGGCTTCGACAGCGTGCCTGCCGGACTCGGCGCCGTGGAGGTCCCGCCGGGCACCTACGGTTTCGCCGCGCTCTTCGCGGTCTCGGGCTTGCTGGAGCTGGGCGCCTGGACTGAGGACCCCTCGAAGGAGCCGGGCAACTTCGGTGATCCCGCCGGCCTGGGCCAGTACACGCTGGAGATGCGCAACCGGGAGATCAACAACGGCCGAATGGCCATGTTCGCAGCCATCGGTATCATCGCCGCCAACGTCTACACGGGCAAGGATGCCATCGAGCAGTTCGGCCTTGCGTAGGGCGCTGACAGCAAATTCTTTGTCAATCTGTAAAGAATTGTAAATCCCAGCCCTGATGGGCTTCTTTTAATGTTGTGAGTTTTGTTGCGTGGCTTCCGGTTCCGTGGGCGCTTTAGCGGCTATCCCCAAGCCCCCAAGCCACGTTCTCATACTCTTGGCGTGGGCGAACAAGTCACCGTGCTAGCCTCATGAACATTCTGACGAGGTTGTTTCGAAGGATGGACGCTAAGCTTCAACCTCTTGACATGTTTTGGTGTGCTCGCTTCTTCAAAGCCTCAGAGACGCCACCGTCCGCTTACCCCGCGCGTTGTTTGAATGATCCCGCACGCCAAGAGCTCCTGGCCTCCGACACGTGGGGTGTCGCAGGCCGACGAAGTTTTGTGTGCAACCCCACCGCAAATGTCGGAAAAGCTCCAAAAAGATCACTGGCGCTTGCCTGGCTGTTCACCGTAGGCCCTGTAGGCATGGGCAGCGCTGCACATCGTCACGCAGCAAAGAGGGGTCGCGCGGAAGGCACGTTTCTGCTGCTGCGGGCTCAAGATTTAATAAAACTTAATTGCCTTTTCTGCAGGCGTGGCCTGACCTCTTTTCCCTTTTAATTCAAACTTGTACATTTTCGCAATGTCTGGCCCGGCGCCCAGGGCTCTTCGGCTCTTCGGCTCTGTGGCTCTGTGGCTCTGTGGCACCGTAGGGCGAACCCCTCCTCCGCAAAAGCAAGGACCACTTCGGACCGAGGCATGCAGCGAACCTTCAAACATCAAAGAAGAAAAAGAGGGAAGAGAGAGGAGCCCCTTAGCCCCCGCCTCCGCCTACAGCTAGTGCAACAAGGCCAGAAGGCTGTGGCCGCAGCGGCCCTCGCCACCGCTGCCTTCACTGCCAAGGAGGCGCCTGCGAATTTTTCTGGGAGGGGCTGCTGTTTTGGAGTCCTTTTTTCGGACTCGGGGGGACAAGGGTTACCTTAAGACTTAAGACCCTAAACCCCAACTGCAAGAACGCTTTTACAGGGCGTTTAGGGGTTTCTGAGAGTTGTTCATCTTGCCCTTTTGCTCCTCCCCTTTGCCTTTGGAGCTTTTCATTCTCCAAGTTTCTTTAGGAGGGTTTGCGGTTCAGGGTTTGGGCGGTTTCGGAGTTTGGGGGCTTTCTCTGGGTGGCTAGGGGTTGAGAGCGCCTTTAAGGGTTTGTGGCTTGAGGGCTTGTTTGCTTTTGGCCTTTGTCATTTTCGGGGGATTTCGGGTGTAGCGTGAGGGGTTTCCTTTATGGAAAAGGGGTTTGGGTTTTGTAGGGGGTTTAGAGGGTTTTGAGGGGTTTAGGGAGTTTTGGCGCCTTTGCGGAGGCTTTTGTCGCCGCCCGGGGACCTGCCACAGCAGCGCAGGACGGGCGCCGAGTGAGCAGAATGGCTTAGCTGAACCTCCCCGCCACACCCCTACGTGAGCGGGGGTGGACAACGACAGTCGTATCCCCATCCAGATGTCTGTTTCGGCAAAGGCCTCGAAAGCCCTAAGCAGCCCCTGTAGAATCCTAGACTCCCTCAACCCCATACCCCCCGGTTTGAGTTGTGTGTTCGGGCGGGGGAGGGATGGGAGGGGCATTCTCGACTTTTTTGGGTGCCGGAGGCTCCCGCGAGCACCAGGCTGCGTGGCAGCACATCCGCAGGCAGGATGCCAAAGTAGAGGCCCAAGTAGAGAGGTACGCCTTTGCGCCTCGCATGCAGGCTCCTCGCCTTCGTCGGTCCTTCCCCTTGCAACCGCCGCCGTCGTGGCGGCCGGGGCTTTCCGAAGCCAGGCGAGAAAAGCTTGAAGAATCACAAACGCCCGAAGCCCAGAAAAGGCCGGGGTTGAGGCGGCTTCGGCTTCTCCAGGGTTCAGGTTGCTTGGGGCGTCTTAAGAGGACCTTTCCAACTCGCCTTCTGGGGCTTGGAATGTACTTCGAAGTTCTGTACCGCGCATGCTGCAAAAGCCCTGCGCAGGGCTCCTCAAGCAAGACCCAGCCGGTGAGACTCCATGCTTTCGAGCGGCTCGGGTGCAGCAGTTGTCAGAACTTGGGGGCTTTGTGAGAGGGCTTTTGGGGGGCTTTTCGGGCTTGGAACTTGGGGGCTTTGTTTAGGGCTAAGTGTTTGGCTCTTTGGGTTTTCGGCTGAGGGATGTTGAGGAGCGGAACGCTTGGGCTTCTGTATTTCTGTTTGAAGTTCCAGTTTGGAAGACTTAAGCAGATACCGCCAGGGGGTTCGTTCATCAATGGTGAAAACACCCCGGGCCCGGCACCAACGCATAATCCTGGAATCTTGTATCGGGTTGCGTTTTGGGCGAACACATGAAGTTCCATCTCTCACCTCTGGACGTCTCAGAATTCAATGGTTGCCGAGAACAAAAAACACTGAACTTCAGACAAAAACGGCGTTTCATTCAGGGTTGTGTGCCAAAACAGGGTCCTGCGGTATTGTCAGGTCAAGGCGCCCCCCTTCAACTCAAGGTCTTCCATTCTGGGCGATCAGAGAATTTAAGGCTGCTGCGCGTTTAGAAATAGGAGCTGAGACGTCAGCATCTCGGGTCTCGTCTGCTGGCTATCAGACCGCAAACTGCCTGAAGTTTACAATGGCTCCTCGTTGCTGCTGCTGAAACGTTTGATTCCCAACCTGTCGTCCCAGATGCCCAGGCTCCCAAATGCTATCCGTAATATGTCTTTGTTCCAGGTCCAAGTCTGCCTCCCCTAAAGCCCTAACTCTGAACCCTCTGCGTGTTCTTCGCGTTGTGGTTCTAAGTTCCGCATCTGTGTGTTCCATCAAGGTGCCGCTGTAAGAAACACCAAGAGTCGCATAAAATCATCCGGAACCACAGCGAATTATTCCCGGTGCCGCCAGAAATCGAAAAGAATTTCGAAACCATCAGAAATCATCAAAGCTCATGAGAAATCATGAAAACATCAGCAGAAATCGTCAAGAATCGACAGGAAGCATTGTAAATCATCAGAGGCCAGCAGGAATCACCAACAGCCACTGCAAACAATCCAGAACCCAGCAGAAATCATGAGGAATCAGCGCAAGTCATCGAAATCATGAGATTTTTTGCCGGAATCAACAGAAATCACCTCAAATTCATAGCAACCCAAAGACTCAGCCAGACCAGCTGAAAGAAAAGGCATACCAGCGAAAATAAAACCACACCAGCGAAACCCCGTCGTCCATACCAGCGGAAAATAATCCGTACCAGCGAAAATAAATCCTTATCAGCGAAAACCGGGTCTGGAATTTGGGCCTTGTGGCTCTGAACTGGCCCTGGCCTTCCTTTCGAGATTTTTCGCATGCGTGTTTGGCTCGTTTTGATGTTTTTCAGCCGTTTCGCATGATTTCTGATGACTTGTAGTGATTTCTGATGACTTCTCGTGGTTTCTAATGATTTCTGCGAATTTCTGGTGATTTCGGATGAGTTTTTATGGTCTTCGATGATTGTTGATCGTTGCTGAGTGTTTTTGGTACTTTCAGACGATTTTTGATGTTTTTTGATGACTAGTGATGATTTCCCATGATTCTTGCTGATTTCTGATGATTTCTAGTAATTTCGGATTTTAGTAACTCCGACTGGCAGTTACTGCTATTGGCAACCTGACGATGGCACGCACGTGCAAGAACAAGAACCCTGTTAGTTCGTAGCACGCAAATATTTAGGAGAAGTGTGTGTGTAGAGACGAAGACGACGGATGAGATTTTTTTCGAAGTCTGTTGACCTGAGCCAGCAAGTGCTCCTGTCAAAGCCAACCCATGTACAGCTTTTAAATAGCCTCAACCGTGGAACTGCATGAGCATGCCTGAAGGCTTGAAGTTCTCTGATGCTTGCCAGCACACGTGCGACAGAGGTGCAAAGTCACGGTCTAGCAAGGTCGAGCAAAACATCTCGATGAAGGCAGCTAGCTACGCTGCCGAATCGTCCTGTTTCCAATCCCGCAGCCCCAGCATGTCCCAGCAGCAGCCCAAACTCACGATTTTGAAACCTCGAATTGCAGAACCTCCGTAGCATGTACGTCACTCGCAAAGTGAGAACCCATACCAAGCCGTGAACCGGACAAGTCGGGTTTGGTGATGTCTTCTCGACGCTGTGATGAGAACATTGGGATTTAGCAACATTTCCGCGAATAAGCCTGGGCCCTGCGGGCCCAGGGTGTTTTGCCCATTCATCAACGTCAGTTTCAGATGGTGGTCTGCTAGCTTGAGCCCGTCCGAGGAACGAGCTTGGCGTTCAGGATCCCGTCGGATTTTGGGACCCGGCCGGATTCACCGCCGACGGCAGCGTGGAGGACTTCAAGCGCCGCCGCCAGACCGAGATCAAGCATGGCCGCATTGCAACTCGGATGTTCGAGGTTAGCCTGGAACGCATGTAGAGCACCTCTACGACACAGAGCTCATCTTAAGCTAGTTCTTGTTTCGTTGGGTAGACTCAAGCAAATTCAAGGCCATGCTGGCAGCGATGGGCTACATCACTCCGGAGCAACTTGCCGGAAGGGTTACGACAGGGAAGGGCAGAAAAGAGGGTAAAACGCTTGCAATGCGTTTTAATGTGCTTGTTTTTTGTTGTTTTCGCTTGCATCGCTTGCGACGAAGATTTGGGCTGTTGACATTCGCCATGGCATCGCGCGGTGGGGTTCTCGTTTGCTGTAGTTACTGTAGTTCTTGGTGCTGCCATGTGCTGCTTCATTTCGCGATGCCACGATCAACAAATTATGTGTTTTACACAGCTTCTTGGCTTCTCATGATGCACTTTTCATCTGTCGAAGTGCTGAGGATCACTGGCAAGTTCCCTGGATACTTGAGCCCATCGGCCGGCTTGAAATTCGCGGACGTGCCAAACGGTCTTGCTGCGATCTCCAAAGTTCCCGCCGCAGGTTGGGGTCAGATCCTTGCCTACATGGCGTTCTGCGAGGTTTCCCAGGATCAGTCGGCCGGCACGGCGGCTGCAGCAGGCGACTTTGGCTTCAAGGTCTTGACCTCCAGCGACCCGGCTGAGAAGACGAAGAAGCTCTCAGCGGAGCTGGCGAACGGCAGACTTGCGATGATGGCCATCATCGGCATGTTCTTTCAGGCGGGATTATCACATGCATGTGCCGTTAATCAATGTTGTGATGACTTCATTGACTTCATGTGAGTTGAAGGAGGAATGCAAGTGTTAACCTTTAATACAGAAAGCAGCTTTTGTGTTGTGATGTTTGGGTCATAGGACGGCCTGACCGGAAGCGCCTGGGGTGACTGGGCCAACTACACCGCCTCTCCGCTCCGAGCGTTCGAGAACGAGCTTGGTGTTCAGGATCCCGTCGGATTTTGGGACCCGGCTGGCTTCACCGCCGACGGCAGCGTGGAGGACTTCAAGCGCCGCCGCCAGACCGAGATCAAGCATGGCCGCATTGCAACTCGGATGTTCGAGGTTAGCCTGGAACGCATGTAGAGCACCTCTACGACACAGAGCTCATCTTAAGCTAGTTCTTGTTTCGTTGGGTAGACTCAAGCAAATTCAAGGCCATGCTGGCAGCGATGGGCTACATCACTCCGGAGCAACTTGCCGGAAGGGTTACGACAGGGAAGGGCAGAGGATAGGGTAAACCGCTTGTAGTGCGTTGTAGTGCGCTTGCTTTTTGTTGTTTTCGCTTGCATCGCTTGGGACGAAGATCTGGGCTGTTGACGTTCTTCATGGCATTGCGCGGTGGGGTTCTCGTTTGCTGTGCGACCATGAGCTTTGTTCATTTCGCGATGCCACGATCAACCGATGTGTTTTACACAGCTTCTTGCATTGCTTCTCATCATGCACTTTTCATCTGTAGAAGTGCTGAGGATCACTGGCAAGTTCCCTGGATACTTGAGCCCATCGGCCGGCTTGAAATTCGCGGACGTGCCAAACGGTCTTGCTGCGATCTCCAAAGTTCCCGCCGCAGGTTGGGGTCAGATCCTTGCCTACATGGCGTTCTGCGAGGTTTCCCAGGATCAGTCGGCCGGCACGGCGGCTGCAGCAGGCGACTTTGGCTTCAAGGTCTTGACCTCCAGCGACCCGGCTGAGAAGACTAAGAAGCTCTCAGCGGAGCTGGCGAACGGCAGACTTGCGATGATGGCCATCATCGGCATGTTCTTTCAGGCGGGATTATCACATGCATGTGCCGTTAATCAATGTTGTGATGACTTCATTGACTTCATGTGAGTTGAAGGAGGAATGCAAGTGTTAACCTTTAATACAGAAAGCAGCTTTTGTGTTGTGATGTTTGGGTCATAGGACGGCCTGACCGGAAGCGCCTGGGGTGACTGGGCCAACTACACCGCCTCTCCGCTCCGAGCGTTCGAGAACGAGCTTGGTGTTCAGGATCCCGTCGGATTTTGGGACCCGGCTGGCTTCACCGCCGACGGCAGCGTGGAGGACTTCAAGCGCCGCCGCCAGACCGAGATCAAGCATGGCCGCATTGCAACTCGGATGTTCGAGGTTAGCCTGGAACGCATGTAGAGCACCTCTACGACACAGAGCTCATCTTAAGCTTTTTTGTTTCTTGTTTCGTTGGGTAGACTCAAGCAAATTCAAGGCCATGCTGGCAGCGATGGGCTACATTACTCCGGAGCAACTTGCCGGAAGGTTACGACAGGGAAGGGCAGAAGAGAGGGTAAAACGATTGCGATGCGTTTAATGGGCTTGTTTTTGTTGTTTTCGCTTGCATCGCTTGCGACGAAGATTTGGGCTGTTGACATTCGTCATGGCATCGCGCGGTGGGGTTCTCGTTTGCTGTAGTTGCTGTAGTTCTCAGTGCTACCGTGTGCTACCTTCATTTCGCGATGCTACGATCAACAATGTGTTTTACACAGCTTCTTGGCTTCTCATTATGCACTTTTCATCTGTCGAAGTGCTGAGGATCACTGGCAAGTTCCCTGGATACTTGAGCCCATCGGCCGGCTTGAAATTCGCGGACGTGCCAAACGGTCTTGCTGCGATCTCCAAAGTTCCCGCCGCAGGTTGGGGTCAGATCCTTGCCTACATGGCGTTCTGCGAGGTTTCCCAGGATCAGTCGGCCGGCACGGCGGCTGCAGCAGGCGACTTTGGCTTCAAGGTCTTGACCTCCAGCGACCCGGCTGAGAAGACTAAGAAGCTCTCAGCGGAGCTGGCGAACGGCAGACTTGCGATGATGGCCATCATCGGCATGTTCTTTCAGGCGGGCTTATCACATGCGTGTGCCGTTAATGTTATGTCATGACTTCATTGACTTCATTGACTTCATGTGAGTTGAAGGAAGAATGCAAGTGTCAACCTTTAATACAGAAGGCGGTGTTTGTGAAAGTGATGTTTGGGTCGTAGGACGGCCTGACCGGAAGCGCCTGGGGTGACTGGGCCAACTACACCGCCTCTCCGCTCCGAGCGTTCGAGAACGAGCTTGGTGTTCAGGATCCCGTCGGATTTTGGGACCCGGCTGGCTTCACCGCCGACGGCAGCGTGGAGGACTTCAAGCGCCGCCGCCAGACCGAGATCAAGCATGGCCGCATTGCAACTCGGATGTTCGAGGTTAGCCTGGAATGCATGTAGAGCACCTCTACGACACAGAGCTCATCTTAAGCTTTTTTGTTTTGTTTTTGTTGGGTAGGCTCAAGCAAATTCAAGGCCATGCTGGCAGCGATGGGCTACATTACTCCGGAGCAACTTGCCGGAAGGTTACGACAGGGAAGGGCAGAAGAGAGGGTAAAACGATTGCGATGCGTTTTAATGGGCTTGTTTTTGTTGTTTTCGCTTGCATCGCTTGCGACGAAGATTTGGGCTGTTGACATTCGTCATGGCATCGCGCGGTGGGGTTCTCGTTTGCTGTAGTTACTGTAGTTCTTAGTGCTACCATGTGCTGATTTCATTTCGCGATGCTACGATCAACCGATGTGTTTTACACAGCTTCTTGCATTGCTTCTCATTATGCACTTTTCATCTGTCGAAGTGCTGAGGATCACTGGCAAGTTCCCTGGATACTTGAGCCCATCGGCCGGCTTGAAATTCGCGGACGTGCCAAACGGTCTTGCTGCGATCTCCAAAGTTCCCGCCGCAGGTTGGGGTCAGATCCTTGCCTACATGGCGTTCTGCGAGGTTTCCCAGGATCAGTCGGCCGGCACGGCGGCTGCAGCAGGCGACTTTGGCTTCAAGGTCTTGACCTCCAGCGACCCGGCTGAGAAGACGAAAAAGCTCTCAGCGGAGCTGGCGAACGGCAGACTTGCGATGATGGCCATCATCGGCATGTTCTTTCAGGCGGGATTATCACATGCGTGTGCCGTTAATGTTGTGGTGACTTCATTGACTTCATGTGAGTTGAAGGAGGAATGCAAGTGTTAACCTTTAATACAGAAAGCAGCTGTTGTGTTGTGATGTTTGGGTCATAGGACGGCCTGACCGGAAGCGCCTGGGGTGACTGGGCCAACTACACCGCCTCTCCGCTCCGAGCGTTCGAGAACGAGCTTGGTGTTCAGGATCCCGTCGGATTTTGGGACCCGGCTGGCTTCACCGCCGACGGCAGCGTGGAGGACTTCAAGCGCCGCCGCCAGACCGAGATCAAGCATGGCCGTATTGCAACTCGGATGTTCGAGGTTAGCCTGGAGGGCATGTAGAGCACCTCTACGACACAGAGCTCATCTTAAGCTTTTTTGTTTCTTGTTTCGTTGGGTAGGCCACTCAAGCAAATTCAAGGCCATGCTGGCAGCGATGGGCTACATTACTCCGGAGCAACTTGCCGGAAGGTTACGACAGGTAAGGGCAGAAGAGAGGGTAAAACGATTGCGATGCGCTTTAATGGGCTTGTTTTTGTTGTTTTCGCTTGCATCGCTTGCGACGAAGATTTGGGCTGTTGACATTCGTCATGGCATTGCGCGGTGGGGTTCTCGTTTGCTGTAGTTGCTGTAGTTCTTAGTGCTACCATGTGCTGCGTTCATTTCGCGATGCCACGATCAACCGATGCGTTTTACACAGCTTCTTGGCTTCTCATTATGCACTTTTCATCTGTCGAAGTGCTGAGGATCACTGGCAAGTTCCCTGGATACTTGAGCCCATCGGCCGGCTTGAAATTCGCGGACGTGCCAAACGGTCTTGCTGCGATCTCCAAAGTTCCCGCCGCAGGTTGGGGGCAGATCCTTGCCTACATGGCGTTCTGCGAGGTTTCCCAGGATCAGTCGGCCGGCACGGCGGCTGCAGCAGGCGACTTTGGCTTCAAGGTCTTGACCTCCAGCGACCCGGCTGAGAAGACTAAGAAGCTCTCAGCGGAGCTGGCGAACGGCAGACTTGCGATGATGGCCATCATCGGCATGTTCTTTCAGGCGGGAGTATCACGCGCGTGTGCCGTTGTGACTTCATTGTCTTCGTGTGAGTTCAAGACTTCATGTGAGTTGTTGAAAGAATGCAAGTCATCATTCAAGTAGAGAATGCGCCGTTTGTGTGATGCTTGTGTCGTAGGACGGCCTGACCGGAAGCGCCTGGGGTGACTGGGCCAATTACACTGCTTCGCCTTTGCGCGCCGAGCCTGTCTCTGCCGCCGCGGCAGCGGCTGCAGCCAAAGCTGCCGCGGCCAAGGCAGGCGCGAGCGCAGGAGCGAAGACAGCAGCGGCCACCACGGGCATCGGTGCCGGCACTGGCAAGTCCCTGAGCGGTGAGGGCGAGGAGGTGCCCCCTGAGCCGACTTTCGACCCGGCGAATGAGGTGGGCGTCACCGAGCCCTTCGGCTACTTCGACCCGGCCGGCTTCTGCAAGAAGGGTGACAAGGCCGGCTTCCGCAACCTGCGCGCGGCCGAGATCAAGCATGGCAGGGTTGCGATGATGGCCGCAGTGGGTGCCGTCGTGCAGCACTACGTGAAGTTCCCTGGCTTCGACAGCGTGCCTGCCGGACTCGGTGCTGTGGAGGTCCCGCCGGGCACCTACGGCTTCGCCGCGCTCTTCGCGGTCTCGGGCTTGCTGGAGCTGGGCGCCTGGACTGAGGACCCCTCGAAGGAGCCGGGCAACTTCGGTGACCCCGCCGGCCTGGGCCAGTACACGCTGGAGATGCGCAACCGGGAGATCAACAACGGCCGAATGGCCATGTTCGCAGCCATCGGTATCATCGCCGCCAACGTCTACACCGGCAAGGATGCCATCGAGCAGTTCGGCCTTGCGTAGGGCGCTGACAGCAAGTTCTTTGTCAATTTGTAAAGAATTGTAAATCCCAGCCCTGATGGGCTTCCTTTTAATGTTGTGAGTTTTGTTGCGTGGCTTCCGGTTCCGTGGGCGCTTTAGCGGCTATCCCCAAGCCCCCAAGCCACGTTCTCATACTCTTGGCGTGGGCGAACAAGTCACCGTGCTAGCCTCATGAACATTCTGACGAGGTTGTTTCGAAGGATGGACGCTAAGCTTCAACCTCTTGACATGTTTTGGTGTGCCCGCTTCTTCAAAGCCTCAGAGACGCCACCGTCCGCTTACCCCGCGCGTCGTTTGAATGATCCCGCACGCCAAGAGCTCCTGGCCTCCGGCACGTGGGGTGTCGCAGGCCGACGAAGTTTTGTGTGCAACCCCACCGCAAATGTCGGAAAAGCTCCAAAAAGATCACTGGCGCTTGCCTGGCTGTTCACCGTAGGCCCTGTAGGCATGGGCAGCGCTGCACATCGTCACGCAGCAAAGAGGGGTCGCGCGGAAGGCACATTTCTGCTGCTGCGGGCTCAAGATTTAATAAAACTTAATTGCCTTTTCTGCAGGCGTGGCCTGACCTCTTTTCCCTTTTAATTCAAACTTGTACATTTTCGCAATGTCTGGCCCGGCGCCCAGGGCTCTTCGGCTCTTCGGCTCTGTGGCTCTGTGGCTCTGTGGCACCGTAGGGCGAACCCCTCCTCCGCAAAAGCAAGGACCACTTCGGACCGAGGCATGCAGCGAACCTTCAAACATCAAAGAAGAAAAAGAGGGAAGAGAGAGGAGCCCCTTAGCCCCCGCCTCCGCCTACAGCTAGTGCAACAAGGCCAGAAGGCTGTGGCCGCAGCGGCCCTCGCCACCGCTGCCTTCACTGCCAAGGAGGCGCCTGCGAATTTTTCTGGGAGGGGCTGCTGTTTTGGAGTCCTTTTTTCGGACTCGGGGGGACAAGGGTTACCTTAAAACTTAAAACCCTAAACCCCAACTGCAAGAACGCTTTTACAGGGCGTTTAGGGGTTTCTGAGAGTTGTTCATCTTGCCCTTTTGCTCCTCCCCTTTGCCTTTGGAGCTTTTCATTCTCCAAGTTTCTTTAGGAGGGTTTGCGGTTCAGGGTTTGGGCGGTTTCGGAGTTTGGGGGCTTTCTCTGGGTGGCTAGGGGTTGAGGGCGCCTTTAAGGGTTTGTGGCTTGAGGGCTTGTTTGCTCTTAGCCTTTGTTATTTTCGGGGGATTTCGGGTGTAGGGGTGAGGGGTTTCCTTTACGGAAAAGGGGTTTGGGTTTTGTAGGGGGTTTTGAGGGGTTTTGAGGGGGTTAGGGGGTTTTGGCGCCTTTGCGGAGGCTTTTGTCGCCGCCCGGGGACCTGCCACAGCAGCGCAGGACGGGCGCCAAGTGAGCAGAATGGCTTAGCTGAACCTCCCCGCCACACCCCTACGTGAGCGGGGGTGGACAACGACAGTCGTATCCCCATCCAGATGTCTGTTTTCGGCAAAGGCCTCGAAAGCCCTAAGCAGCCCCTGTAGAATCCTAGACTCCCTCAACCTCATACCCCCCGGTTTGAGTTGTGTGTTCGGGCGGGGGAGGGATGGGAGGGGCATTCTCGACTTTTTTGGGTGCCGGAGGCTCCCGCGAGCACCAGGCTGCGTGGCAGCACATCCGCAGGCAGGATGCCAAAGTAGAGGCCCAAGTAGAGAGGTACGCCTTTGCGCCTCGCATGCAGGCTCCTCGCCTTCGTCGGTCCTTCCCCTTGCAACCGCCGCCGTCGTGGCGGCCGGGGCTTTCCGAAGCCAGGCGAGAAAGTTTTAAGAATCACAAACGCCCGAAGCCCAGAAAAGGCCCTGCAGGGGTTGAGGCGGCTTCGGCTTCTCCAGGGTTCAGGTGGCTTAGGCGTCTTCAGGACCTTTCTAACTAGCTTTCTATGGACTTTGAAGTTCTGTGTGCCCGCACATGCTGAAATCCGCGCAGGGTTCCTCAAGCAAGACCCAGCCGGTGAGACTCCATGCTTTCGAGCTGCTCGGGTGCAGCACTTATCAGAACTTGGGGACTTTGTGAGAGGGCTTTTGGGGGGCTTTGGGGCTTGGAACTTGGGGGCTTTGTTTAGGGCTAAGTGTTTGGCTCTTTGGGTTTTCGGCTGAGGGATGTTGAGGAGCGGAACGCTTGGGCTTCTGTATTTCTGTTTGAAGTTCCAGTTTGGAACGTTCACCAACGTCAGTTTCAGATGGTGGTCTGCTAGCTTGAGCCCGTCCGAGGAACGAGCTTGGCGTTCAGGATCCCGTCGGATTTTGGGACCCGGCCGGCTTCACCGCCGACGGCAGCGTGGAGGACTTCAAGCGCCGCCGCCAGACCGAGATCAAGCATGGCCGCATTGCATCTCGGATCTGGAACGCATGTAGAGCACCTCTACGACACAGAGCTCATCTTAAGTTTGTTTTTGTTTCTTGTTTCGTTGGGTAGGCCACTCAAGCAAATTCAAGGCCATGCTGGCAGCGATGGGCTACATTACTCCGGAGCAACTTGCCGGAAGGGTTACGACAGGGAAGGGCAGAAAAGAGGGTAAAACGCTTGCAATGCGTTTTAATGTCCTTGTTTTTTGTTGTTGTTTTCGCTTGCATCGCTTGCGACGAAGATTTGGGCTGTTGACATTCGCCATGGCATCGCGCGGTGGGGTTCTCGTTTGCTGTAGTTACTGTAGTTCTTAGTGCTACCGTGTGCTACCTTCATTTCGCGATGCTACGATCAACAAATGCGTTTTACACAGCTTCTTGACGGCTTCTCATCATGCACTTTTCATCTGTCGAAGTGCTGAGGATCACTGGCAAGTTCCCTGGATACTTGAGCCCATCGGCCGGTTTGAAATTCGCGGACGTGCCAAACGGTCTTGCTGCGATCTCCAAAGTTCCCGCCGCAGGTTGGGGTCAGATCCTTGCCTACATGGCGTTCTGCGAGGTTTCCCAGGATCAGTCGGCCGGCACGGCGGCTGCAGCAGGCGACTTTGGCTTCAAGGTCTTGACCTCCAGCGACCCGGCTGAGAAGACTAAGAAGCTCTCAGCGGAGCTGGCGAACGGCAGACTTGCGATGATGGCCATCATCGGCATGTTCTTTCAGGCGGGATTATCACATGCATGTGCCGTTAATCAATGTTGTGATGACTTCATTGACTTCATGTGAGTTGAAGGAGGAATGCAAGTGTTAACCTTTAATACAGAAAGCAGCTTTTGTGTTGTGATGTTTGGGTCATAGGACGGCCTGACCGGAAGCGCCTGGGGTGACTGGGCCAACTACACCGCCTCTCCGCTCCGAGCGTTCGAGAACGAGCTTGGTGTTCAGGATCCCGTCGGATTTTGGGACCCGGCTGGCTTCACCGCCGACGGCAGCGTGGAGGACTTCAAGCGCCGCCGCCAGACCGAGATCAAGCATGGCCGCATTGCAACTCGGATGTTCGAGGTTAGCCTGGAACGCATGTAGAGCACCTCTACGACACAGAGCTCATCTTAAGTTTGTTTTTGTTTCTTGTTTCGTTGGGTAGACTCAAGCAAATTCAAGGCCATGCTGGCAGCGATGGGCTACATTACTCCGGAGCAACTTGCCGGAAGGTTACGACAGGGAAGGGCAGAAGAGAGGGTAAAACGATTGCGATGCGTTTTAATTGGCTTGTTTTTGTTGTTTTCGCTTGCATCGCTTGCGACGAAGATTTGGGCTGTTGACATTCGCCATGGCATCGCGCGGTGGGGTTCTCGTTTGCTGTAGTTGTAATTCTCAGTGCTACCGTGTGCTACCTTCATTTCGCGATGCTACGATCAACAAATGTGTTTTACACAGCTTCTTGCACGGCTTCTCATTATGCACTTTTCATCTGTCGAAGTGCTGAGGATCACTGGCAAGTTCCCTGGATACTTGAGCCCATCGGCCGGTTTGAAATTCGCGGACGTGCCAAACGGTCTTGCTGCGATCTCCAAAGTTCCCGCCGCAGGTTGGGGTCAGATCCTTGCCTACATGGCGTTCTGCGAGGTTTCCCAGGATCAGTCGGCCGGCACGGCGGCTGCAGCAGGCGACTTTGGCTTCAAGGTCTTGACCTCCAGCGACCCGGCTGAGAAGACTAAGAAGCTCTCAGCGGAGCTGGCGAACGGCAGACTTGCGATGATGGCCATCATCGGCATGTTCTTTCAGGCGGGATTATCACATGCGTGTGCCGTTAACGTTGTGATGACTTCATTGACGTCATGTAAGTTGAAGGAAGAATGCAAGTGCGAACCTTTAGTACAGAAAGCAGCTTTTGTGTTGTGATGTTTGGGTCATAGGACGGCCTGACCGGAAGCGCCTGGGGTGACTGGGCCAACTACACCGCCTCTCCGCTCCGAGCGTTCGAGAACGAGCTTGGTGTTCAGGATCCCGTCGGATTTTGGGACCCGGCTGGCTTCACCGCCGACGGCAGCGTGGAGGACTTCAAGCGCCGCCGCCAGACCGAGATCAAGCATGGCCGCATTGCAACTCGGATGTTCGAGGTTAGCCTGGAACGCATGTAGAGCACCTCTACGACACAGAGCTCATCTTAAGCTTTTTTGTTTCTTGTTTCGTTGGGTAGGCCACTCAAGCAAATTCAAGGCCATGCTGGCAGCGATGGGCTACATTACTCCGGAGCAACTTGCCGGAAGGTTACGACAGGGAAGGGCAGAAGAGAGGGTAAAACGATTGCGATGCGTTTTAATGGGCTTGTTTTTGTTGTTTTCGCTTGCATCGCTTGCGACGAAGATTTGGGCTGTTGACATTCGCCATGGCATCGCGCGGTGGGGTTCTCGTTTGCTGTAGTTGTAATTCTCAGTGCTACCGTGTGCTACCTTCATTTCGCGATGCTACGATCAACAAATGTGTTTTACACAGCTTCTTGTACGGCTTCTCATTATGCACTTTTCATCTGTCGAAGTGCTGAGGATCACTGGCAAGTTCCCTGGATACTTGAGCCCATCGGCCGGTTTGAAATTCGCGGACGTGCCAAACGGTCTTGCTGCGATCTCCAAAGTTCCCGCCGCAGGTTGGGGTCAGATCCTTGCCTACATGGCGTTCTGCGAGGTTTCCCAGGATCAGTCGGCCGGCACGGCGGCTGCAGCAGGCGACTTTGGCTTCAAGGTCTTGACCTCCAGCGACCCGGCTGAGAAGACTAAGAAGCTCTCAGCGGAGCTGGCGAACGGCAGACTTGCGATGATGGCCATCATCGGCATGTTCTTTCAGGCGGGATTATCACATGCGTGTGCCGTTAACGTTGTGATGACTTCATTGACTTCATGTGAGTTGAAGGAAGAATGCAAGTGTCAACCTTTAATACAGAAAGCAGCTTTTGTGTTGTGATGTTTGGGTCATAGGACGGCCTGACCGGAAGCGCCTGGGGTGACTGGGCCAACTACACCGCCTCTCCGCTCCGAGCGTTCGAGAACGAGCTTGGTGTTCAGGATCCCGTCGGATTTTGGGACCCGGCTGGCTTCACCGCCGACGGCAGCGTGGAGGACTTCAAGCGCCGCCGCCAGACCGAGATCAAGCATGGCCGCATTGCAACTCGGATGTTCGAGGTTAGCCTGGAACGCATGTAGAGCACCTCTACGACACAGAGCTCATCTTAAGCTTTTTTGTTTCTTGTTTCGTTGGGTAGACTCAAGCAAATTCAAGGCCATGCTGGCAGCGATGGGCTACATTACTCCGGAGCAACTTGCCGGAAGGTTACGACAGGAAAGGGCAGAAGAGAGGGTAAAACGATTGCGATGCGCTTTAATGGGCTTGTTTTTGTTGTTTTCGCTTGCATCGCTTGCGACGAAGATTTGGGCTGTTGACATTCGCCATGGCATCGCCCGGTGGGGTTCTCGCTTGCTGTAGTTGTAATTCTCAGTGCTACCGTGTGCTACCTTCATTTCGCGATGCTACGATCAACAAATGTGTTTTACACAGCTTCTTGCACGGCTTCTCATTATGCACTTTTCATCTGTCGAAGTGCTGAGGATCACTGGCAAGTTCCCTGGATACTTGAGCCCATCGGCCGGTTTGAAATTCGCGGACGTGCCAAACGGTCTTGCTGCGATCTCCAAAGTTCCCGCCGCAGGTTGGGGTCAGATCCTTGCCTACATGGCGTTCTGCGAGGTTTCCCAGGATCAGTCGGCCGGCACGGCGGCTGCAGCAGGCGACTTTGGCTTCAAGGTCTTGACCTCCAGCGACCCGGCTGAGAAGACTAAGAAGCTCTCAGCGGAGCTGGCGAACGGCAGACTTGCGATGATGGCCATCATCGGCATGTTCTTTCAGGCGGGATTATCACATGCGTGTGCCGCTAACGTTGTGATGACTTCATTGACTTCATGTGAGTTGAAGGAAGAATGCAAGTGTTAACCTTTAATACAGAAGCAGCTTTGTGTTGTGATGTTTGGGTCATAGGACGGCCTGACCGGAAGCGCCTGGGGTGACTGGGCCAACTACACCGCCTCTCCGCTCCGAGCGTTCGAGAACGAGCTTGGTGTTCAGGATCCCGTCGGATTTTGGGACCCGGCTGGCTTCACCGCCGACGGCAGCGTGGAGGACTTCAAGCGCCGCCGCCAGACCGAGATCAAGCATGGCCGCATTGCAACTCGGATGTTCGAGGTTGGCCTGGAACGCATGTAGAGCACCTCTACGACACAGAGCTCATCTTAAGCTTTTTTGTTTCTTGTTTCGTTGGGTAGACTCAAGCAAATTCAAGGCCATGCTGGCAGCGATGGGCTACATTACTCCGGAGCAACTTGCCGGAAGGGTTACGACAGGGAAGGGCAGAAGAGAGGGCAAAACGCTTGCCA